GGTGCTGGTCATATCTTCAGCAAATCATGGAATTTTAGAATCATGGAATTTTAGAATTATGGAGTTATAGAATTATAGAATCCTGGACTGGTTTGGGTTTTTTGGGGGTTTTTTTTTTAATATTTCTCCTTTTTTTTTTTCGGGAAAAATCCCGGTTATAAAGAATTCTCTTTAGGATACAACTTAGATTTAATAAGGTGTATTCTTTCCCAGTAAAACCTCGCTTTTCCCACACCTCGGGGCTGGATGGGGGACCCTGGGCTCGCATTTCTTCCCCAGGAATGTCTGGTAACCTGAGCTGCAAGAGCAGGGAACGTGCCTTGCCCAGGCGCGGGAGGGGACAGATGTTCGGCTCACCCAGCAAGGTTAATCCCGGCTAATTTCAGGGCAATCGTGGAGCAATTCTGCTGATTCATTGTTCAAATGCGCTGGATCTGCTCGGAGAAAGCCGGGATGACACGGATCCCCTCGTGTCCGGGCGCACCGCCGCCTCCGGGCTTTGCATTATCCCCGAGCTCCATTACCTGAACTTTCTCTGCCCAAATTCCCCTCCCGAACCCGCAGCAAAAAAATGACTTTTTTTTTGCTACGCCTGCAAACTCCCGGGGCAGTTTTAGCAACGAGCTGCTGGATCGAGTCTTTTTGAGTGCTGAGAATTGACTCTCAAGCTAAAATCTTCTTTCTAGGTAATTCAGGCGTTTTAGAAGAGCACAAACACCTCCCAGAAAATGCACTTTCCTGCTGGCTCATTGGCATTTGCCAACACTTCAAGCTCATTTTTGGAGTGGCTTTGTGAGGCAGGTGCTTCCAGGCTGCTCCCAAAGACCGAGGAAGAGATCTCGGCACCCAGAGCTTTCTATGGGCCTATCCTCATCCCTGCTCCTCCTTTAGAGGGAGTTGGGATAAAGATGTAAATGCCTGAAGTGAGGATTGGGTTGGGATGGATATTTGGGCCCCCATCTAAGCAAGAACTGTGGGGTGCTGCCTCTTTTAAGCTGTGTGTAAGCCTCCAGGGGTTTGGTAGTTGGAATTTCTGTTCCTTGGGGTGCTGGTCATATCTTCAGCAAATCATGGAATTTTAGAATCATGGAATTTTAGAATTATGGAGTTATAGAATTATAGAATCCTGGACTGGTTTGGGTTGGAAAGGACCTTAAAGCTCATCCCATCCCCTGCCATGGCAGAGACACCTCCCACTATCCCAGGGTGCTCCAACCTGGCCTTGGACACTTCCAGGGATGAGGAATCCACAGCCTCTCTGGGTACCCTGTTTCAGGGCCTCACTGCCCTCCAAGCAAGGAATTTCTCCCTAATATCTGCCCCAAATCTCTCCTCTTTTAGCTTAAAACCATTCCCAGCTGTTCTATCACCGTGCAGATAAAAAGTCACTCTCCCACTTTTTTTATAATCAACTTTCCATCACCAGAAAGGGCTCTGAGGTCTCCCTGGAGCCTTCTCCAAGGCAGAGCTCTCCCAGCCTGGCTCCACGGCAGATTTTTGAGCATGGGAGAGGGTGTGAGCAGCAGTGCTGGAGCACGGATTTGGGATCCGTGTCCGTGTGCTGACCTTGCCGTGCCTCTGTCCCACAGCCGAGGTGGTTCGGTGCCTGAACAGTGCCCTCCAGGTGGGCTGCGGTGCCTTCGCCTGCCTGGAGAACTCCACGTGTGACACAGACGGCATGTTCGACATCTGCAAGTCCTTCCTCTACAGCGCTGCTAAATTCGACACTCAGGTATGGCCTGGGCACAGAGGGGATGGGAATGAACCCAGCTAGGATTCAAACCTGGCCGGGAATGGATCAAACCCGGCTGGGAATGGATCAAACCTGGCTGGGAATGGATCAAACCCGGCTGGGAATGGATCAAACCCCATGGGGAATGCATCAAACCCCATGGGGAATGGATCAAACCCAGCCAGGAATGGATCAAACCCGGCTGGGAATGGATCAAACCCGGCTGGGAATGGATCAAACCCGGCTGGGAATGGATCAGACCCCATGGGGAATGGATCAAACCCGGCTGGGAATGGATCAGACCCCATGGGGAGTGGATCAAACCCCATGGGGAATGGACCAAACCCAGCCAGGAATGGATCAAACCCCATGGGGAATGGATCAAACCTGGCTGGGAATGGATCAAACGCGGGCAGGAATGGATCAAACCCCATGGGGAATGGATCAAACCCGGCTGGGAATGGATCAAACCCGGGCAGGAATGGATCAAACCCCATGGGGAATGGATCAAACCCCATGGGGAATGGATCAAACCCGGGCAGGAATGGATCAAACCCGGCTGGGAATGGATCAAACCCGGCTGGGAATGGATCAGACCCCAAGGGGAGTGGATCAAACCCAACCAGGAATGGATCAAACCCGACCAGGAATGGATCAAACCTGCCTGGGAATGAATGAAACCCGGTCAGGAATAAATGGGAGCCGCCTTTTCATGCCCCCGACAAGTCCCATGGGTTCTAAAGCACTCCTGCTCAATGCCTGCCTTAATTTGTTGTGCTTTGGGTAGGATTAACCCTCCCCTCCCTGTAGCCCTTCCTGCTGCTCAGCTGCTCCTCTCAGCCCCCGTTTTTGGCTCCAAGCGCGTCTTCCAGGGCTCTTTTTCCATCCGCTCCCTGCTCCTTGGCACAGAGGGTTCCGTAGGGAGGAGAGCAAGGTTTCCTCTCCAAGAGGAAACAGAAATGTTCTTCTAACAAAATAAATCTCCTGCCTGTATGACCTGGCACAGGGCTGGGCTTTGACTTGGAAGGTATTTGGGTCTGGGAATACGAGGCCAGGGAGAATAAATGGGATAATATTGGAGGGATGTGCTCTGCCAAAATCCCTTTCCCTCTGTGCTTTCCTCCCAAAATCCACACAGCCCCTTGTTCCCTGTGCTTCCACTCCCGAGGACAGATTTAAAAGCTGGTAAAGGCTCTTGATGTCTGAAGCAGGACTGTTAAACTGCTGGCACTAAATGGATGTTAAATCAATCTGAGGGGCAGAACTGCTCCAGCTCTGATCCTGGCACTTCCAGACCAGCGATTCCCACTGCCTAAAATTTTTTGAGAATGGGAGTTCAGAGCATCCCAACTGCTGGGAGTGAAAATTCTGCAGAAATCTGGAGAATTCAAGTCCTGTTCCCTGCTGTGCCTGGCAGGTCTGTAGTTGCAGGAGGGGAATTAGCACAGCCAGGCCTGGTGGAGTATCCAAAACACTTCCCCTTCTTTTGGATTCCCGGGAATTTTGCTGCAGCTGAAAGTGTTTCCGTTCCATTCGCAGGGAAAAGCTTTTGTGAAGGAGAGCCTAAAGTGCATCGCCAACGGGGTGACGTCCAAGGTGTTCCTGGCCATCCGCAGGTGCTCCACATTCCAGAGGATGATATCCGAGGTGCAGGAGGAGTGCTACAGCAAGCTGGACATGTGTGGCATCGCCAGGCGCAACCCCGAGGCCATCACTGAGGTGGTGCAGCTCCCAAACCAGTTCTCCAACCGGTAAATGGGGCTCTCCCCAGAATATGGAAATGGGAATCACAGAGGTGGGAATGAGAGGGGCTGAGGGGATTCAAGGCTTACAGGTCCTAAAGCAGCTTAGGCCAGTAAAGTTCTCTGTGTCCTCAAACCCTGCTCAGCTTTAGTGGTCTTCCCCTTCCTCTTTTGGGGAATTAATTTATTTCCCTTCTTGGGAAAATACAATTGGTTTTCATTTTGGGAAATACACATATTTCCCTTTCTGGAAAAATCTCTTTTTGGAAATACAAATTATACAAAATACAAAAAATATTATTATTTCTCCTTTTGGGAAATATATTTAAAAGCATCTCCAGAAAAGAATCATAAAATTGCCCAGACATGGCTTACCCCAAAGCCTGGAGTTTGTTTAAATGTTTGTTTTTTTTTGCTTGAGTGCACTATAATGGTTAATGATCCCAAATCAGGTTGATTAATTCAGCGTGTCTGGCACATTGAGCACTTCAGAGAATCATGGAATCATGAAATGGTTTGGGTGGGAAGGGACCTTAAACCCCATCTCATCCCACCCCTGCCAAGGACAGGCACAGCTTCCTCCACCCCAGGGTGCTCCAAGCCCTGTCCAGCCTGGCCTTCTCCATCTCTTGCCACCTTATTCCCTTCTCCAGACTGCAGCCATCCCCTTCCTGGGCTTCCTATGGCACCTGGAAAATTAATCTTTGTCCTCTGAGCTACCACACTGCTACAAAAAAAACAGGAAAAACAAAAGGAACCAGGAAAAATGAAAGGAACCTGTGTAACCCCAGTGTGCCGTGACCCAGCATCTCTCATTTCCAGGGCCAGCCTGGGGCTCTCACTGCTCTGCTTTGGGGCTGTCCCTGCTCCTGCCACCCACAGGAACAGAAGTGTCACGCTGCTGGCACCGTCCCCTGAGAGCAGGACTGCCCTGTTCCTGTCCTCCAAGGATGAGGGACACAGGGAGGCTTCAGGGCTGCTGCAGTCACGCTGCAGGGACAGGGATTTCTTCCTCCAAATCCTGGAACAATCAGAGCTGAGTCTTGTGATTGGGATAAAAGGGACCTTTTGGAGCAGTTCGAGTCAGTAACCCTGGGGTTGGAGAGCAGAGCACTGGGAGCTGGGGCCTGGCTGTGGCCAAAACCTCAGCTCCTCTGAGGTGGCTTTGGCTGGATCCAGGAGCATCCCAAACTTCCAGGCCTGTCCCAGGACAGCTGTGCAGGTGATAAATATGTTTTATCATGTTTTAGCATCAACTTATTCAGAGAACCCCAGAACAGCCAGGGCTGGAAGGGACCAGCAAGGATCATGGAAATCCATTTCCTAGTAGAGAAAACTCTTTTGGAGATGGAGAAATTCTTTCTTGTCTATCCAGAAAATGGCAAAATTGGGAAGGCAAAATTCTGCCGGAGGGAGTAAAAATGAAACCTTGTGTGTCTTTTCCCCAAGCAGATTTGGAAGAGGTTTTCTGGAGGGTTGGGAGGGGAGCAGAAAATCCCTGTGGAGTCCCAGGTTACAGTGATGGATTGTGGAATTCAGCACTTGGAGAGAGACAGGGGAATACTCAGGCAGTGCTGGGGATGCCCTGAGCACCAAGCCCTGGGGTCCCTCCTCCCCCAGCCTGAGGCAGAGGATATTGTGCCACACTGAGGAACAAAAGCAGCAGGATTTCCCAGCTCCGAGGCTCCTGGAGCATCCTGCTTTCCCAGCCCCTGGCCCAGCAGAGCCACAGGATTAGAACGTGCCACTTGGCCTGGCCGCTGAGGGGAAGTATTTAAAGGTCATTGCATCTTCCTGCGATTTAATCTCAGGGCAGGAGCAGCAGGGCAGGAAAAGCTCAGCTCACAGCCCGGCTCTTGCAGGCTCTGGAAAAGCATCTGAGCATGGAAGTGGGGCTGGGTGGGCTCTGTGTCTGATTCAAGCTGGATTGTGTGCCCAGCTCAGCTTTGCTCATCTCCACTTCAGAGCCAGAGCCTGCTCCTTTTGTCCTTTGACCTCAGCCGACCTCCCCTGGCTGCTGCTGCAAAGGCCAGGGCTGAGAGATGGGAAAGGGCTTTGAATGGGAACTCTCATTTCCCTCTTCCTTCCCCTCCTCCACCTGCAGGTTATTCTCCTCTCTGCTCCTGTGGAAAAATGTCACTGTGACCTCAAAGTGCTTAAAATAAGTTCCCCGATGTCCTTTCAGGCAGAAATCCCAGGAAAACGTGGGACTGCTGCCCTTTTTCCCTGACTTTGTCTCCCTGGGAAGATGTTCCTTGGCGCAGGGAGGTGCCAGGTGACTTCCAAGCCATGCAGAGGAGCATTCCTAGGAGAAATTCTCAGCAAGGCTGGGAATACAGACTGGCACCACTCCCTGGCTGCTCCTTGGATGAGGAATTTGTGCCCAGGGCTGCTGGAAGGGGAAGATGCAGCTGGAGAGGAGGCAGGGGAAGCCTCACTCGGGGTTTTGTGCTTGGTGGGCTTGGAAGTGACAAGGGATTGTGTGTCCTAAAGCTCTGTCCCGAGGGAATTCAGGATCTGCCAGCCTTGGGCTGAGCTTCTTCTCTCTCTGCTCCTTGTAAAGGCTGTGCAGAGAGAGGGACAAGGGGGACAAGAGGGACAAGGGGGACAAGAGGGACAAGGGGGACAAGAGGGACAAGAGGGACAAGGGGGACAAGAGGGACAAGAGGGAATGGTGCCACAGGGATGGATCAACCACGGCTCTGCCTCAGAGCAGAGGCCAGGCCAGGCTGGCATCCCGGCAGCATCTGCTGCTGCCAATGTCAATTATTTTCCTTCCCAAAACTCCAGGAACTCGGGTGTTTAGCAGAGAGTAAATCACACCCTTTAACCCATTCCTATGTCTCTCAGCTCCTCGTTTTTACCTTCCCAATCCACCAGGCTTGCTCCAAACCCACTGAGTTCACTCCCTCACCTCCCAGAGCTGGGGCAGCTGCCGGTTTAGGGCAATGAAATCAGAATTTTGATGTTCCTTGCCTGCGCCAGGGGCACGGCACCACCATGCCCAGGGTTTTTGGGTGCAGCAACAACAAGGTTGGACATGGCCTTTCCCAACCTTAAAAAAGCCGTGACAACACCGTCAGAAATTGATTCCAAACATGCTCTGAGTGAGTTTAGGATCCTGATTCTCATGGTTTTGTCGCCTGGCCGGGGGCCAGCATGGGCTAACGAGGTCGCTGTGCCGCAGGTATTACAACAAGCTGGTGAGGAGCCTGCTGGAGTGCGACGAGGACACCGTGAGCACCATCAAGGAGAGCCTGATGGAGAAGCTGGGGCCCAACATGGCCAGCCTGTTCCAGCTGCTGCAGAGTGACCACTGCGCCCAGGGCCACCCCCAGGGCCACTTCCTGCGCAGGAGAATCTCAGAGCCGCAGAAGCTGAAGCTGCTCCTCAGGAACCTCCGAGGTGAGGGCTCCACTCTGGCCCACGCCAAGCGCAGCTCCACCGAACATGCCTGACAGGGCTGGGGGAGGCCGAGCACAACCAAAGCTGAGGGCTCTGCTCTAGGAGAGTGCTGCACCCAAAGCCAGAGGATTGTAGGTATTTTAATCCCCCAGGAGCTAGGTTTAGCTTCTCAGGGCTCATTTAGTTCATTCATCTTTTCTGTTCCTCTCGAGCAACACTTCTGCATTGGTCTGTGTTCGGTGTCGCGGCTTTCCCACCTGCTAAGCAGCTCTGTCTCTTCTCTTCCCCACAAAAAATCTGTTAGCCCAAAAGATTCTTAGTCTTAAGTAGATCCCTGCAGTGGTCATTCCTTCAGGCATCAAACTCCTGACATTTGGAGGCAAAGCTCTGTCCCAAACTGTTGCGCTGATGCCACCCAGGCCTGGAGATTCGGCACCGATGGGAGGAGCTGGTCCTCTCTTGCAGGTGACAAAAGATGCACTAAAAACTCTCACACATCCTAAAAACACCCATGGAATTCATGTCATGAATCTGTGCTGGCCATGGAGGAACATGGATGCCACGTTTCCAGTCCTGTAGCGTCGCCCTCAGCCCTAATCCTTCCAGCAAGGCACTGTGAACACGTTAAAATTGGGATTTACCAAACACGCTGGATGGTTTTAGTTGCCAGGACCTGGTACCACGGTGCAAAATGAGTTCAAACCACCTCACAAACCCCAAAACCAGGAGAGGGATGTGTTCTACTGTGGAAAGAGGTGCCAGGAGCCAGGTCAGGAGGTCCCACACTTGTGCATTGTGTTTCAAAGCTCACATCTCTGTACTGTATTTAACTGTCTGAAGCTTTAAGCGAAGCCTAACAGAAACAAAGCCTGTCTTAAGATTAGAGTATTAAAGGCCTTGCTCTAACTGTGGTATAAATAGTACTAAAATCTGTCTGTACTGCACATAAACTCCACCAGAGCCCGGTGCAAAGGAGCAGAACAGAGTAACTTTATTGCCTGAACTGAGTTTTGTAAGTCTGCTCTTTCTCTGTCATTCTTTTGTGTTTCGTGGAGGCAGCAGCTCTGTCACAGGAGAGAGTTCACCTTCCACGCTGTGGCCTTTCTGGAAAGGAGGAGGGGAAAGGTTTAGGATGGGAATTGCAGGGCCAGGAAAAGCCTTTCAGAGCTCAAATCAAGGGAAAATGCATAAAAACCCAAATCAGGCTGGTCAGTGCAGGCCCCAAGGAGATGCGCTTAGACCCAAGGCAGGGGATTTTGGAATTATCAGATCCTTTCAGAATCCCTCAGGATTTCTGGGGAAAGGCAGGGAAAATCCCTCATTGTCTCCAGCTCCAGCAGGAAGGCTGAGGACACAGAATCAACGTTCCAGGAGCTGCCTTTCCTTTCCCCCATCCTCCTGCTCCTCCTCAGCGGGCTCTGGGAAGAGGAGCGGAGCTGGGAGACCCCAAACCCACCCCCCACTGCAGCCAGGCTCTGGTCAGCCAAAAAATCCCCTTTGTGGTGTGGGATCCACCAGACCAATCCCAAATCCATCACCTGGAGTCTCAGCAGAGTGGGAGACTCTGCCTCAGATCATTGGAGAGCTGATAAAGGAGGGATCTCTTTTTCTTAGGGAAACCTGAAGCAATAGAACTTTATTTTTTTGGTGTTGTTTGGAAAACCACAAAGCCTTTAAACCAGAACTTGCTGCTAAAATATCAAAACCAGAAGCAGTGGCAACGTTTCAGATGTCACTGTCTTCACAAAATGTAGCCCAAAAGTGCTGGCAGAGAATTGGGAGCAGCAAAAAAACATTGCTGACATCGGTGGAGGGTTGGAATTTGTCTCTTTTTTTTGGGATACTCCGAATGGAGCCATCCAGGGCAAGGAAGATGCAAAGTTGCTCATTCCTGAATCAGGCAGGGATTGAGAGGCCGACACAAAGAAGTTCTGAGAGGTGAAAACCAAGAGTTTCTGGAATATCCCGACCCAAAAAATTTGGTTTATATTGAGGAATCAATCCTGGGAGTGCATCCCTGACTTCCCACCCCAAGGCTGTTGGGAGCCAGGGAACTCTGCTGGACTTTGTGCATCCAGTCTGTGTTTTCCTTTGGGAATTGGTCACAAAAAGTCTTTTCCTGGCTCAGGGCAGTGGTCAAACCCCACCTGGGAGGCTCTGCCAGTGCTCCAGTGCTGTGGGATCCCAAAGCTTCCAAGAGCTTTCCAAGGACACCTGGGCAGGGATATTCCCCACGGAAAGCGCCTTCTCCATCCCCCCATTTCTCTGCAGTCCCAAAGGTGCCTGAAGCAGATTCGGGGCTGGGAAGGAGCCTTGGGCCTCCCAGTTCCATCATTTCTTTGGGGTGCCATAATGAAATTTCCCTTTCCAGCAGCGATTTCAACTTTGTCTCCGAAACATGGGTGGGAAGAGGAGTGGGAAGATGATTCCTCCTGCTGGGATTTGCTGCGGTGCCCCAGGGAATCATCCCCCAGAGCCCCAGGGAATTCCCTCTGTGCCATCCATGTCCCAAAGAGCCACAATTCCTGATTTTTGAGCTGCTTTGAGGCCCCTTTTGCCCCTATGCTGGAGCAGGGAGGAATTTGGGATCACGCATCCTTCGACCAGGCTGGGCACTCCCAGCTCTCCCTGCTCAGGAGAGGGGATCTGGAAGCTCTTCCCATCCCTTGGGGATGCTGGAAAAGTTTGGATCCCTCGGGATCAGAAACAACCCCCAAGATCGAGTCCAACAATTTCACCTCGGAGTTCAGCTCCGCTTTATTTTTGGAGCGTCACAAAAAAGGATTTTCTCTTGGGGGCGGGGAAGGTTCGCACGAGTCTCGCGGTTTGTTTGCACTTTAGACGTTTTTGTGCTATTATAAATCTGCGTTATTTGTATTTATAATTTAAAGAGATCTAGAAAAGGGAAAAAGGGAGAGAGTTTGGGGGTTTTTTGGGGGGGTTTGTTTTTTTGTTTTGTTTTTTTTTGCTGATTACTGGAATAAACAGTGAGCATATCTGGTATATGTCTTTATTTATTGTTTCCATGACATTTGTAAAGCTCCATGCATTCATATAAAGGTTATTTGAAACACAGCGAGGAGAGAGAGGCGAGTTATTTTCTTTGCTTATTTTTATAATTAAAGATGCATAATGTAATGAGGTCTATGTTGGGTTTTCTTCTGCGATGAAATAAAAAAAGTCAAATTGAAGGGGTTTTTTTGGCATCTGAGTCTTTATTGAAAATGTTGGATTAAAATTAAATTAAAAATTAAAAACGTGTTAATGTAAAAATGTTTAAATGGAAAAAATAAATTTAAAATGTTGGCTTTTCCTCGGATTGAGCATCAGAGCTCCACTGTCTCCTCTGGCTGTTTAATAAATCCTGTGGCGCTGGCCTGGCCTGCTAATTGCATTTGATTTCCCCTGCTAATTAAGGCAGAAGCGCTTTTTAATGAATGCGGCTGCAGGGAAATAAAACCCCTGGATTCAGAATTTCCGTGTGGATTCCATTCCGACGGGAAATCTCATATTTCTACTGGAGCATCGAAATCAATGTAATCATTGGCAGATGAAAAGTGGGAGCTGAATTCCAACTCTGCTCCAAAAGCTGCTGCGGAGTTTAAAAAATCGGTTTCCCATCACAGGAGAGAATAAATATTAGGAATAGAAGAAGATTAATAAAGAGATTTCTTGCCCTAAAAATCATGTAAAAATAATGGAAAGGTTTGGATTAAAAGGACCTTAAAGCTGAGCTCATCCCACCCCCTGCACTATGAGTGTTGCAGCAATATTATTATTATTATTATTATTATTACTATTATTATTATTACTATTATTAATGAGTGTTGCAGCAATATTATTATTATTATTATTATTATTACTATTATTATTATTACTATTATTATTATTATTATTATTACTATTATTATTACTATTATTATTTTTACTATTACTATTATTACTATTATTATTATTATTACTATTAGCATCATCATAATCATAATAATCATCATTATCATCATCATTATTATTATTGCAGCATTCTCATTAATATTAGTACTATTATTCATATTCGCATTCACATCAGTATCAATATTAATTGGATATATTAAAGTAATATAAATAATATATTAATATATAAAGTAATATAATTAATATAATTAATATATTTAATAATTAATAAGTATGTATTCTATATAAATATACAAAGTAATATAAAGTAATATATAACACAAATAAGTGTTAAGATAAACTAATTCATTATAATTCATATTAATAGCTCATTATTATAATTATGGACATTACCAACACCATTGGAAATTCCCTTAGATGCTTCCACCTGGAGCTCCCAACCATGAAAATACTCCAGAATTTCAACAACTTTTGAAGCTTTGGGAATAAAATGAACACATTTAGGTCAGTGCCAGTAACGGAGGGAGCCGAATTCCCAAAAAAAGGGCAGGAGCAGAGGGCTTGGATCAACCTATGGTGGAAAAACTGGGAGGAAAATCATCCTGGAAAAGGAAATTTTGGCTCAGTGACGAGGAAAAAAGTCCTGGAAAAAGAAATTTATGTTTGATAACAGAGGCAAAAGTCCTGGAAAAGGAAATTTTGGCTCTGTGACAAAGACAAAAGTCCTGGAAAAGGAAATCTGGGTTTGATGACGAAGAAAAGAGTCCTGGAAAAGGAAATCTGGGCTCAGTGATGATGGAGAGCTCGGGAAGCATTAAAATCCTGGTTGGTTTTCCCCTGGAAAAAACAGCCGGAATTTGATTTGGCCAAGATCCAAAGGATTGGCTGGATGTTCTTGTCTTGTCTGTGGGGGGCTTTTTGCAGATTCACGATGAAACAAAGGGAAAATAATTTCAGATTTTCCCAGTCCTCACCCTTCCTGCCAGCTTTGGGAGGGCAGGAAGAGTGGGATCCTTGACACTTCCAAAGGGCTGGGAATGAAATTCTGGATCAGCCTTCCCTTCCTGCCTCCCAGGAACTGAGAAAGATAAAAAGCAGGGAAAAAACCTCCTGGAGAAATGAAGGACTGAAAAAATTCCCAGAGAAATGGACTAAAAAAATTCCCAGAGAAATGAAGGACTGAAAAAATTTCCAGAGAAATGAAGGATGTTGTCTTTGCTTCCATGATTCAGCCGCTCCAAGCGGGAACACGGAAGGAGTTCAAAAAATAAAAGAAGTGGAGTTGCTAAAAATAGAAATCAAAGTTGAAATCTCCTGGATCCAGAAGTGATTCCCACCAGGAGAGCTCGGATGAGTGAGGAACAGAAAGGCTGGAGAAACGCAGAGGGATGGGGATTTGGTCAGGGAATTCTCAGAACCCCGAGATTTTGATGTGTTTTTATCCATTTCAGCATAAAGCAACGGCCAAAAATTAATCTGAGGGATTGAGGGCATGACGGGGCTGGAAGCCCCTGGAAAACCTGGAGCCATGGAATGGGTTGGGTTGGAAAGATCGTCCAGTTCCAATCCATGGGATGATGGAGCTGGGAATCCTTGGAAACCACAGAGCCATGGGATGGGTTGGGTTGGAAAGGACCAGATCCTCCAGCTCCAATCCTCTTCTTGGGCAGACCAGAGGGAGGATTCCAGACTCCCAAAATGTCGCTTTTCCCAATAAATCCACCTTTTCCAAGAAGCCAGCCCTTCCTCAGTGGATGAAGCTGGATTTCCAAAGGCTTCTCCTCCCCCCAAAAAATCCAAAATGAGTGTTGGAAAGAACATCAGAGAGGTTTTCTGGGACACCCCCCCACCAGATCCAACCAGAGAGATTGGAGAACCTCAGGCACAAAATACCTGGGAGAGACTTGGGAGTTTTAATCCAAAAGCAGTTGGGAAAACCGGTAAAACCAGTATGGGGGATGGCATTATTCCCACACAGATGGAGTTTTTTCTCTTTTCCCTCTTTGATTTCCATGTTTAAGCTGAGTGAAAGTCCAGGATAACCCGGACTGTGGCACCAAAGGATGATCCCAGTGATATTTCCCTTTAAATAACCGTGACCAGTTTGGGTTTTTTGGATATGCAGATTCCATCCGGAGCAGGGGAAGGGTGGAGAGGGAAATTGGGGATAAATTTCCATCCATCCCTGACCTGTGGGATAAATTTCTATCCCTGATCTGGGGAAAAATTTCTGACCCTTGTAGAAGTGTTTCCAGCCCTGGGCAGGCACAGCTCACACCCTTGTGAGCCTCTTCCTCTTGGCAGCCTTTGGAAAATCCCAGCTCCCCATCGGAGCCATGCTTTTCACCAGGATTTTAAAATATTTTTTATTTCAGTTCAGTTCCTGGGCTGCTCGGGGTGACCTCCAACGGCCTCAGATGTCTCCCAGCCTGGCTCAGGAAGCTGCTCCTGGCCCAGTGAGGGATTGGAAGGGTGGGGAGAGGCACGAGTAGGAAATTTCAGCCAATAACTCCTGAGACATTTCCCCTGCCCTGGGAATTCTGGGTTTGGATTCTAGCAGGACCATGTCTGGGATTTCAGTGTGGGGTGACATCAGAGAGAGAAAAATGAAGCAATTCTGGGTTTGGGAGTTGATTTAATCCAGATATTTTCAGTTACGTTTGCAGGCCAGAATCTAAGGGATCTTTCCTCAATCTAAATAAATCTCCTGTTAAAAAAAAAAAAACCCAAAAGCAAAGCAAAGCCCTATCCAGCCAGATGTAGCTGGAGTTCCAGAGTGGGAAGCAAATCCCAGCACTTCTGCCATGGCTTTGAAATCCCAGAATTGTGGAATTCTGGAATGATGTGGCTTGGGAAGGACCTTAACGCCCATCCAGTGCCACCCCTGCCACTGTTCCAGGTGGCTTCAAGCCCTGCCCAGCCTGGCCTGGGACACTTCCAGGGATGAGGAAATTCTCTGGGAATTCCATCCCAGCCCCTCCCCACTCTCTGAGGGGACAGAACTGGCCTTTCCCACCACGAGTTTGGGAAGCTCCAAGCCATGACCCCTTCAGGAATTCCTGGGAGATGCAGGCAAGGCTGGAAGGGACCTGTGCCAGTTGCCTGCTCCGCACTCCAGGGTTTTTATCCCGTTTTTTTTCCAGGAGCTCAGCACAGCTCCTGTGCCATCTGCTGACCGATGGCTCCGTGTCCCAACAGCCCCAGAGGCTCCTGATCCTCCTCAGGCATTTCCTTCCCTCCTTCCTTCCTTCCCTCCTTCCTTCCTTCCTTCCTTCCTTCCTTCCTTCCTTCCTTCCTTCCTTCC